TAAATGCAACTTCATCATTCTGCAAATCAGCAAGACTAACTTCAAACACTTGACCCTCGAGGCCATCAGATGCAATTTTGGTTCCTTGGGTCCTGGTGACTAGCGTCTTTCCAATATTTCTTACATTGAACATAGTGGGTGCTTTCACATCATACCAATCTTTCTTAGAAAATGGATCAACCACTTTCTTCTTGGCTCCCTTTTTTGCTGCCTTTCGTAAGGCGCTTGTTCTTGCCAACCGCCGTAGTGCTGCTCAGAGAGCCAAAAGGCGAGTGTGGTGTATTGCTTTTTGATGTGCCACTGTATTTGATTTGCTAGTATTTTGTTGAGGATTTTTGTGTCTGTTCATCAGAGATATTGACCTACAGTTTTCTTTTTTTCTCTGATGATTTTAGTATCAGGCTGATGCTGGCTTTATAGGATACATAAGAGAGGAGTTCCTCTTCCTCAGTTTTTTGAAATAGTCTTAGTAGGATTCATACCAGTTCTTCTTTGTACATCTGGAAGAATTCACCTGTGAATCCAGGCTGGAGTGCAGTGGCATTATCTTGGCTCATCAAAGCCAACCTCTCACCTCATCCTCCCAAGTAGTTGAGACTACAGGCATGCACCACCATACCAGGGCTTTTTTTAATTAGTAGGTTTGTATTACCGATTCAGTTTGAGAACTTGTTATTTGTCTGTTCAGGTTTTTACTGTCTTCCTAGTACAATCTTGGGAGGTTGTGTGTTTCTAAAAATTTATCCATTTTTTAATTTGTGTGCGAAGAGATGTTTGTAGTGGTCTTTGAGGTTCTTTTGTATTTCTGTGAGATTGATTGTAATGTCACCTTTGTCATTTCTGATTGCAAATAGCTGAGTTTTATTGAAATTGCAAGGCTGGTGTGATTATATACGTATCTTTAAAAATACTCTATTAACTGTTTAATGAAATATTACAATACAAAGAGTTTTATTTATTTATGTATTTTATGAAGAGTTTTAACATGGAATAGTAAGACAGAAAATATAGATGAAAGCATGGAATAATGTCCTTGGAGCTTATTTCCACCCTCCTAATCAAAAATAGAGTAGTCTTAAAAAAGGGGGGGGGTTTGTTCTTTTTGCTTTTTTACAACTACCTATGACTTTGAATGAATGTTTGTCTTGAACCTTGGTAGATGAGAAATCATAGCAGTCTATGCTCGAACAACTTTTTTTTAGAAATTAGTTTTGGGAAAATCTCAGTCTCTATGATTTCTCAGAGATGCCTGATGGCTTTAGATTCATGGAGCTTATGATCACCACTCTACTCCCACCAAGCGTAACTAACTTGAAAACAGTATTAGAGCTAGGAGACAAAGACAATGACAGGTATTTGTGAGAATGTACTATTTATGATCAAATAATAAGTAGGAATTTACAGTCAGACTTTTAAAGATCATGCTGATTTGTATTGATATTGAGTCTTATTAATAATAGAAATTAATAGCTAATTATAAAGCATAGCTTTAAATTTTAAGTCCATTTATTAAAAAGCCAAATTGTCTATACTTGATTCCTCCTCTTGAAACCCCATTGTAATCAGTTTTCTCTCCCCACTGTGTTTCGCCAGAACTGCTCTGGGTAAGATCACCAATAACTCCCTGTAGCTTTATGTCTAGTTGTCAGTCTTGTTATTAATTAACTTGACTTCTGGTACCATACTCTCTTGGTGGTCCTCCTGCTTCACTGGCTGCCCCTGTCATGTACTTTGCTATACCTCCCTGGCCTCTTACTGTTATAGGGTCTCAGACCTTGGTTTTGGACCTCTTTTTTTCCATGCTCATTCCTTTGGCAATTTTACCTAGTCACTTAGATAAGCTAGATAGCTGCCAAATGAACTCTTCGATGTACATGCTCCAAGGGGGAAGGACATGAATCCCATTCTTCCCCCCAGACTTTCCTTTTCCACAGTATTTTTCATCTTATTTGATAGCATTTCCATTCTCCTAGTTGATTAACTGCTTTTCTCATACCCTACATCTTTGCCTCAGAAAATCCTAGTGGTTCTACTTTCTGAACGTGCCTAGAATTAGTATTAACTCCGCTACTACCACCCTAGTCTCAAAACCAACATCTCTTATCTACATATTTACAGAAGTCTTCTAAACTGATCATCCTGCTGTTGCCCCCTCTTTTCTTCCATTTGTTTTCAATTGGAGCAGCCAGAATGATCTAGATCAAATTATATTACTCTGCTCAAAACTATTCAGAAGCTTTTCATCTTACCTACAGTACAAGCCCAAGTCCTTAAAGTGGTCTCTCATTATTTTGTTAATCTTAGGAACTCCAACTTTTCCTTGCTCACTCCACTTGAGCCACTGGCTCTTTTGCAAGATAGCTGCATGACTCACTCACTCATCCTATTCAAATATTTCTGAACCTTGGCTTTCTCACCTACAAGAAGGGGTTTTTAAGTTGGTACTTGCCTCATCTGGGTTTTATAAGCTTTAACTTTTGAAACACTTACCCAACTGCCTGGTATTTTAAATTCTTTGCTATAACTTTTGTGCCTCAATGTTCTCATCTGTAAGATGAGAATAATGAATATTACTTACATATGTACTGAGAGGATTAAAAAGTTAATATATGTACAGCATTCAGTACAGTGACCAGCACCTAGTAAGCACTATATACATGTTGTGTATTATGGATATTATCTAGTTTACATGGTAGTTTCTTTATAGATTTGAGAAGCTGCATCACAGCTTTTTATACTTAGGGCTTACATCTGCTTTCAGCAAGAATTTACACATGCAATCTATATTCTTCATAAGAAGCATGTATGTCAGTCCGCTTCTTAACTAACTTATTATCAGTTTGGCAGCTCCTTTTGGGCCAAGGTTGCAAATCTGAATCAGTGCTCAGGTCTCCCTGAATAGTAGCTCTGCCTCTAGCCTTCCAGAGTCCTGGAGTGCCCACTTTCCCACACAATATCTGCACAAGATTTTGATTATAGATTAAGGAATGATTTACAAATAATAAATAAAAATCTAATGAATCTAAGGAGCAATATAATTGAAGTTTATTTATTGTTTTTTTTTTTTTTTCCATTCTATTAGTTTCTCTCTTGTCCAATCAAATGTCCTTAATGGACTAAGAGAAATCCTTATTTTTTATACCAGTCAGTCTTTCAGTTTTAGTTTCATTGCATGTTCTACTGTAGGTGTGTCATTCAATTAATTACTCTTTATGTCTGAAAACTTGCATGTTAGAAGGCCGTGTTGTATGTTCTTGCCAGTTTCATAGTCTCTGAAGGGCCAATAAAGAACAAAACTACAATGACCAGCTAATTTACTTAGTTTTATTATTCTTCTCTATATATGAGTGGAAAATAAACACTAGTTTATATAAGATGTCATCAGAATATAAAATGTAAGTACTTCAGTATTTAAAGGATTCTTTTTAAGTAATTCCAAGAGATCTCAACTTAGGAGTCAGTGAAAAAAAAGATCTAGAAGATTTATATTTCTCTCATTACTTAATTATACTTCAGCAATATTTGTTTATTACCTCCAGAAAAGTAATTGAATCATTGAAGTTCTACAGCTTAAGAGATATGTCACTTTTGTTCATTGTTTGTTGAACTGATTCTTCATTCTAAATATTGAACTTATAGTAAATTCTGAACTTGTAGTAAACTTTACTCTCTACTTTTCTGTCATTAAGTAGAGGAATTGTTTGATATATTGTTATTAAGTCTAGACCAGATATACTCTACTACTAATTTTTCTTTTATTATAAAATTTATAGTGTGAGTTACTATAAATAGAAGGGTTTTGGGTATTAACCACATGTAAGAGGGTTGTTTGTTTTCTGAAATATAGTTTGTCAGGGGACAGAGTGCTGTACTAGCAGAACATGGGCTTTGTTGATTGTGTGACATTGAGAAACGTGTATTTTCTGAGCTTCAGTTTCTTTATACTTAAAATTAGAGTCACAGTGGTGTGAGTTTTAGGCAACAACTAGTTCCTAGTGCTTAGAAAATATTAGTCCCTGTCTCCTCACTACTACTTTCTATTTCTTTACATCTCACCAAGTGGAATGAGTAGCAAATGAAATCCAAAGTAGTTATCGTCATTAGCTATGGAATCCCAAAATCTAAGCCATTCTCCACTATTGATGAGAAATCTTTAGCACTAGAGCAGTGATCTAGCTGTTCATTTTGTGTTTTGAAACATAGTAAAGCATAAGCTGCTTCTACCAGTTGTAAAAATATAACATCAAAATATGTTTTCGTTTCTTCATAATTTTTCTTTATATTTAATAATAAAATGAATATATTAATCCATTCATGCACTGCTGTAAAGAAATGCCCAGGGCTAGGTGATTTATAAGGAAAAGAGGTTTAATTGTCTCACAGTTCAGTAGGCTGTACAGGAAGAATAGCAGCATCTGCTTTTGGGGAGGCCTCAGGGAAATTTTACTCATGGCGGAAGTCAAAGCAAGAGCAAGCATCTTATATGGCAGGCGAGGACCGAGAGAGAGCAGGGAGATGCCACACTTTGAAACAACTGGATTTCAGGATAACTCACTGTCACAAAACCAGCACCAAGGAGGAAATCTGCCCATGTAATCCAATCACCTCTCACCGGCCTCCACCTCCAACATAAGGAATCACAATTGAATATGGTATTTAGGTGGGAACACAGACTCAAACCGTATCAGTGAGTATCTTACATTTTATTATTTTAATAATTTGGACATATATTCATTGAGCTTTATTACTTACAAAAATATAAGAATAAAATATAACATCTTTAACATATGTAAAGAAACAACAAAAACTATTTTATTTTACCAATCAAGAATATAAACTGCTGACATAATAAAAATAAAATAAATGTTAAGAGTTTGATTAGGTCCAAAAATCAGAAAATGCTGCCAAGACAGTTCACTGGAAATCTCTGTAGACAGTCTTTTTAGTATTTTTGCACATTAGCAGTGTAATTTTCTTGCGCTTTTTTTCTTCCTACACAGGAATTCCTGACAAGGAGCTGAACCCTAAGAAGAAGATTTGGGAGCAGATCCAGCCTGATCTTCACACTAATGATGAGTGTGTGGCTACATACAAAGGAATTCCCTTTGAGGTGAAAGGGAAGGGAGTGTGTAGGGCTCAAACCATGAGCAACAGTGGTATCAAATAAAATGCCTCCACTACCAAAAGACATTGGAGAAAACCTTAATAGTAATAAAGAGAAATATATTTGTCACCTGTACCTGAAATATGAGTGGCTCATTTTTGTTAGTCTCTCCTAGACTTGACTATTCTTCTACTTGGTATGTATTGTTTTTTATTGATTGGGGAAACACTACATTTTTACCTAGGTTTTTAATCATTTATAAAGGAGGGAAGTTGCCTGTGTTTTGTAATAATTTATTTTTTAGCAAGAATATTGATTAGCAGCTTTTTTTTCTTTATACATGTAGATAACTAGATTAATAGTTACTTTCTTATTTATGGGCACAGGATGCATGAAATTTCAAGCTCTGAAATTTTTCTTATATATCTGTATCAAAAATATCCTCTCCTTTTCAAAAGTGACAAGTTGGAAAATTTTTATCAGACTTATTAACTGATCATATTATAATAGTATTGAAAATGACCAACTGTTCATTCTGAAAGCCAAACATAAAACCTAGGAGATGTGGCATATGAACATTTTTGCTTTGCTGCTAGAGTAGTTCTGATTAATAATACTTAAAGCATTTTTTTAAAAAAACTAAAATTTTCTATCTTGAAGTTTTTCTATTTAGCAAAATAATTAATAATAAGTTTTGACTAGCTCTAGAGAATAAACACATTGAAAACAGTTGCCACAGTAGTTTCTAATGAATTGATCATAAAAGCAGCAATCTTTTTTTTAATTCTAGCTGCTTTATAAAGATTCTTTAGGTACCTAATAAAAGATAATTTATAGCTTATTATTTTTTGAAGAGCATTACAGACTGATATTTTGCTTTTTCATGTATCATCACACTGTCAGTATATTAAAAGAAATTGCAGCCTAAAACTTAACATATACCATACATATATATTAAGGTGTCAAATAGCTATTCTCGCTCATTTTACAAATATTGTAAGAAAAATAAAAATCAATTGAGGAATTATGAGCCTCCAGGTCATCAGCCTTGAGATGATTACTGATGATTTGGACTTAAACACACATGTCAGCAAGATAGAGGGTTGTGGATAGGGGAGGGCTGGTAGCTAACAAGCGTCCTAACAAAGCAATATTAGTGACTTTAACCAAGTTTCAGAGTCTGGGCCTTAGCTTTACAGGTTCAAAAAAAGAAGGGCATCAGTGGAGGTAGAAGTATAGACATTGTTTTAAAAATACACACATGCACACACAAACAAAAAATGTTAGCATTACAAAACATTTTAGCATTATAGCTGTCCAAATCCTTCAATAAGAAGGAGAGGCACACACACACATACACACTTTCACACAAAACTCAACAACTATAAAACATCCCTGCATATTATAAAAGGCAGAATTAAATTTAATTTAAATCCATGGAACTCTGGGAAGCCAGGATATATTATAGTACCATTATCAATGTTTTGAAAATATGAACAGAGCATCATTAACATTGGTTGGTACCTAAACATAAAATGAATTTCAAAAGTTACTTTGTTCTCAAGATATGTCATTCTTTTGGGAATAAATACTTTTGATGATACAGTCTTTTGTGAGTTTTTTGTTCTAATTTTTCTCAATTGTATCAAATTTCTTTAATATAATTTAAGTAATATTTCAGTTACCTAGATAGTTGAAATTTTACACACTAAATGTTGAAATACTCTAGCCCAGATCATATTGTCTAAAGCTTTGTCAGTGAAACCTAAATTGATGATTAAATCATACATCTAACCTAGAAATAATAAAAATTATTGGTCTTTTGTTAAAGCCTGTAATATAACACCATCAGTAGCTAATTTATGCTGAAATTTATGATGACTTACTACAAAAGGATACATTGCAAAAATGTCACATTTCTCTTTCTCAAGTACTATATTATGCCTTACCAAATTATACCAAAAGTCCATGCTTCCCTCCATAATTCCCCCAGGTCTTTACCACATAAAGAGAGAAAGAAGTGGAGAGTTAATGAGTAGTTTTTCAAGTTGTATAGAAGCATTAACAAAGTTATCAGTTCAGCCCTATTCAGTACTTGTTTTCCTAGAAAAAAAAAAAAAAAACTTAATTCTGTTTCTTTGTATTGCTGTGATGGGAGAACTCTTACGGAATCAACAAAGAAATAGCATTGTTGGTAAACTGGACATAACACTTCGGCACCTGATGTATTCTGGCTTTTAACCATTTCAACGGTAGGAGGTAGTATTTGGTGGGAGAATCACTTTGAGCCCAAGAGTGGAGAGCAAGATGCGGTGTGCTGTGATTGCACCAGTGCACTCCAATCTAGACTACAGAGTTAAGACCCTGTCTCAAAACAAAAAGAAACAACAACAACAAAAAAAAAACAGTTGAGGAGCACCTCACTATTTCTTGTAACTGGGCATTAAAATGGCCTGAGTATACCTCCTCAACTTTTCAGAGAAATGATATGTCCTTTTAAAATATAAAGGTATCAGAAGTATATAACATTAGCCATGTATTTCATCTACATAAATGGTGACACAAGTCCTGATTCTAAGTGCTATCCAACAGTATGAAAATTACAACTTTATCACTGAGATGCAAAATAAAAACTAGGAAGGGCAAATTAGTATGTTCAACAGACAGTTGCAAATTGCTGTCTTGTGAAGAAAAGCTCTCCCCTCCAAAATTTTAGTTAAGGCATAATCATGCCTTCTCTAACAAATGTAAGGGGGATATATTAATAATACATGTCTACTGTCATGGATTTTATTACAGAATTATTATTAACATAGTTACTGCCTTATAACTAGTGATTTCATGTGTTTTATCCACCTCTTAACTCCTTATAAGGTAAATCAGTCAATTTACCCCAAAGACTCAACAGCAAAGTTAAATAAATGCTCATACCCAGTTGAAATCTGGTTTAATTTTTTTTACTTCTTACTGATTTTGTGTTCTCCATTACATTATACTTTCTTAACATGTTAGTTAAATGGTCATGTGGTTTATTTGAATAAAAAGTTTAGCTTTAGGGCAAACGCTAGAGAAAAATCGTGACATAAAAATACCTAAATTTGAGTAGTTACATTATGTGAGATTAGGTTAGCTCATTTAGTGTGGAGTATTTAAGAGATTCTAAAGGGAGTGATGAGATTATTAAACACTTTGTTGGAGTTGTTCCGAAGAAGTTTTTTTCTTTCTTTCTTTCTTTTTGCTATTCAAGCTTGGAGGAAAAATTAACTTGGCAAAACCAGGCTGCTGCTGCTGGTAGCAACTGCCTTTTTAAAAAGCCATATGCCATGATTCTTTGAATAGTGCGCTGTTATTGAGGGCACTGAATGTGTCATGACAGTCCATTCCAAAAGCCAACATGTAATAGAAGTCACTAAATTCCATATAGATAGATAATTTAAAACAGGAACATAGGTATACTATAATACTTATATGATAACCCCATTGTGGTACAACTTACATGATAACCCCAAAATTCGCAATAAAAAAAAAAAGGATAGTTGCTGATGGTAGATATGCCTCTCTACAAAACTGAATCATCTTCGGATACCAACTTGTTGGAATGAGAAAGAGTGACCCATTCTTGTGCATTGCACTTTGTATAGTTATGGTTTTTCCTTTGAATAAATCTTGGCAGAGATAACTCATAGGAGTATAACCCCAAAAAAATATTTGGAGGGAGGACCGAGAACAATGAAATAATTGTTGGTTTGAAAGTGAGCCATCTGGAATTTCAGAGTGTGAACTAATTATTGTGTATTGTATTTTGTCACCCTTATGTATGTGGGTTTTTTTTCCTTCCTAACTTCCACCTATCCTAACACACACTATTCCCAGTTCTCTAGATGTTTAAGTACAAAAATGTGTGTAAGTGTGATTTTATGTCTTCATCAACATCATTTCCTATCTGGCAGGCTGTTGGCCTTAGCAACAGGAGCAGAAACAAGCCTGAGACCCAATAATTACAAGAAATAAAAATCCTTTTTAATGAAGCATTAACTACTCTTGCCTTTCCCATTGCTACATAATGCCTATAGAATTGTTCAAATAGCCATTGTTAATGTCATCATTTCCTCAATGGCATTTATGTGATGAGCCTTCATATTGAAGCTACTCTGATAAAGTTTTACATTTGTTTTTGTAAATTCCCCATTAGAATATCATGCATCCCAGCAGAGAAACGCACTCAATATATACATGCACTTTAGTTTTCAGATTGCATATTTGGCTGATACTTAATATTTAAAACCCCTCAAATTTTCACACCTGGGGAATTTGGAAGGAACAGTCCAAGAGTCATCCAAAATCAACACCACAACTATATTTCTTTTTGAAAAAGATTAATGAAAAATGCAAGTTAAAAGTTACTTTCAGTAAGTTTAGCAAAAGGGAATGATTTCAGTAGAAATAACTTTTTTCTAAAACTCAGTTTTCCTATGAAAGGATAACATTTTTGTCTTAACATAGCACATACATTGAAAATAAAAACTTTTCAGATACTTATGAAAAGAGACTTGTTTTGAAAACAAAAGTTTGAGTATCTGGGAACTAGCAATGCCATGTAAAAACACTAGCTTTATGTAAGAGAAATACAGTATATCTGAAAATCAGTAGAACAGAAAATCCAAGAAAATTTTTAATGAAAAAAGTATAAATAAGCATAGCTTTAAAAAAGAAAGTCTTTGAAAATGCTAATTGAGGTGATGTATCTGGAACAACCCTGGCAAGAGTCAGAGCTTATTAAATTTCAGGGGTAATCACTAATGACCCTAGATTGTATGCACTAATGAGATTCTAACACCAGCTGCACAAAAATATCAGGTACATTGTCTTTCAATCCTCTAAAATATTCAAAGCACTTTGAAATTAGAGATTTTTGGTGTGTAGATGAGAATAGCATACATATTAGGCATCTGGAAGGACGTGAGAAAAGATTGCATGTAATAGACTCTAATAGGAAACATGGCAGGGCACCAAAGATGAACTTGCTGGACATTATTTATTTTACTTAAACATAATACTGAAGTAATCCTAGTCTCGGTTCTTTATATGTGTAGGGGCAGAAAGGTGTGATACCTTTCATTACCCCTCTTAAGAGTCAAGGCTGACACTACTGTAACAAAAGACAAGAGAAATGCATAACAAATGTATTTAATCAAAGTTTTACATAATACCGCAGCCCTCAAATGAAGACCAAAAGACTCGGAAATAACTGTTTATTTTATGCCTAGGATTGCTGGAGAATGGACAGCCGTATAGAAATGTAATTGAATAAAAGAGAAAGTGTTAACTGTAAATAGACTGATGGGGAAACCCAGCAAGGCCATCCAGATTCCTGGCCTCTGTAGCATGCCTTCCCCCTGAGTATGGGGCAGGACCATCTGGAATGAAGGTCATAGAGGGAGAAAGGAGAGAGTGAACTTTTAAGTTTCATGGCTTGTCTTCAGGATGAGGGATTCTGATTTCTGTGACTTTCTTCAAGGGGATAAAAGCGGTGGAAGATAGGAGAGAGACAAGGGCAGAAGGACAGAAAGACCTTGCTTCTGAAGCTCTTCCAGTCTCCTTCAGTTCAAAGTACTCAGCATACCAAGGTGTCATATTTGGAATATGGTGTTTTGAGCCCCCAATAGTTGCAAGTTGTAATTGTCTCCAGAACAGATGACTTTTTTCAATGATATTCATTGAATATGAATGAATGATCACATGCACTGTCATCCAGAAAAAGCTAAACTAATGAGCTTCAAATGGAGAACAGCAGCAAGATATTCACTCAGTGTCTTAACATTCATATGATTCAACAACCCCATTACCAACTGACAAAATATTTCCCTACACCCACTATGCTGATTCTTATGAAGAATCATTATGCAATAGGATTGCTATTGCATAATGATATATGGAAGAGTATGTCTAGAATTTAATGCCTCATGGATATTATGCTAGAATTCAGAGTATATTGGGAAAACACACTAACCAGAAAGATGAGAGAAGATAAAGAGGAAAGAAAGCAGTGGTAAGAAATAGACCTGCTACTGTTTATATATTGAATTAAAAGAGATAATGAATGATAAACTATGAATGGGGATATGCAATGTAAATTATAAGAAAGGACTTGAAATAACAGGGGTGACCTGCAGGGAGGAGTCTTGAATTAAATAATTAACTATCTGAGCACAGTCTAATATGGGGAAAGCAAAAGCATTCCAAAGTCCACTTCTCTGCAGAGGATGGGAGAAAGAGAGCTAGGGAGGATATGGAAGTATTATAAGAGTCTTATTTTTAAAGGTGGGAAATTCTTGGTTAGGGAAATAGTTCGTACTGGGTTATCAAGCAACAGCAGAGAAATATGTACATGATTGTGAATTCAGGGACAAGAAAATAATCCTTAATGAGTGTGAATTAGAGTAGAACTTCCAAATTATCAAAGGGAAATACTGAATTAACAGCAACATTATCAAGGTAGCAAAACTAAGGAAAAGAAAAAAAATACAATAAATACATTAATATAAATAATAGACATAATGTAAGATGAAGAAATATTCTGTATGCTTATAAAAGAAGACTTAATATCACGGATGTCATTTGCCATAAACACACACACAAACCCCAGAATAATTTTTTTAATTAGAAAAAATCTAAGAACATATATGAATGCCTGAGTATAACCAGAAAATATTTTGAAAAAAGAAAACAAATTTGACCTCGTAGATATCAAGGAATGATACAAAATTATTATAATTAAATCACTCTGGTATTGAGAACAATATAAATAAAATAGATGATGGAATAGAATGAAGAATTCAGAATAGACCCAGAAATTGAACCAGGATATATGTCTCAATCTCTTTAGCTACCTATCTACCATTTAATTAGTAAAAGGAATAATTAATAAATAGAATAAATACAACTGGTTACTCATCTGACAGAAAATAAAACTAAAACCCCAGCTATATCATGTACATAGAAATATATGACTATAAAAAAAATTTCACAAATTTAGTTTGGCAAAACTTAGCATAAAAAGTTGAAGGGTAAATAATAGATTTGATAAAACAATTGTTACCCAGAGGACCCACAGAGGGTTAATATCTATAACACACATAGAACTCTTCCAATTTGCCAAGCAAAAAGTAATCTAATGAAAAAAAAAAAAAGACAAAAGAACAAAGAATGTGAAGAATCAATTCATAAAACACTAAATCTAAATTATCAAAATGCTTACATAAAAATGTTCCAATTACATAAAAACATTCCATCTGGGAAACACAAATTAAGGTAACAGTGGGCTGTGGTTTTACATTTATTCAACTGGTGTTAACAATAGGTGTTCAAGATGATAACACCTACAGACGGAGGGAAAAAGGAAAGAGTACTCACGTTGTTGGAAATCAAGTTTATCACAACATTTTTGCAAAGAATCTGTTAAGATGTATTAAATGTATGTATGGTTTGTCCCAGAAATCTCACTTTTGGGAATATAATTTACAGAAGTCACTATTAACTAAAAATAAAACTACAAGAATAGTTGCTGGAGCATTGCTTTGGGTGACAGGAAACTGGAATGCTCATCCTTAGAGGAGCAGTTGCATAAATTGTTACATAAAGACTATGAAATGCTTTGCAGCCTTCAAAAAGTATGAATTTGGGCTATATTTAAGATTTGGAAAAATTTAAATGAGGTAGTGTTGAGATAGCCAAGTAAAAAGGGCTCCGGGAGAATCTTTGACTGGCCTGGGCACTGGTGAAGGAGGTGGAGCCTCGGGAAGTTCCTGTTGTTTGCAGTTGGGGGGAGCCTTACTTCTCCTGTTCCTGGGTGGTAACCTGGAATTCAATTGGTGAGATTGGGGGCCTGTTAACAGGAACCCCTCTCACTTTGCTGAGTTTTTTTTTTCCTTTTTCACTCAATACATTATGTTTTTTTTCACCATTCTATGTGTCCATGAGCCTGAACTTTCTTGGTCTTTTGAGAAGAACCCAGTTTTTAGCTGAAATGAGGAGAAAGTCCTGCAACAGTGTTAAAGTAAAACAAAAATATTATGAAGAGTATAATATGAAATCTTTTTTAAAGTTGTAAAGACCTATATATTTTTATGTGTTTATACATGCTGTGTGGAGATGATTATCCAGACATGAAGAAAAATAGAAACAGTGGACACCAGGCTTTTGGTTGGCATCAGTTATCTGTAATGAGCAGATTTGCATGAAGAAGAGGAGAGATGTAAAGGCAAAGCAAAAAAAAAAATTACATAAGACTAAAGTATGTAATATTACCACATTTAAGCATTTATGTGAAAATGGATGTGAGTGTATATACACACATGCATTCACAGTAGGAACCCCTTATCCAGAGGGGATATGCTCCAAGGCCCTAATGGATGCCAGAAGCCAAGGAAAGTACTGAGCCCTTACACATACTGTTTTCCTATATGTACATTCCCGTGATAAAGTTTAATTTGTAAATTAGACACAGTAGGAGATTGACAACAATAAAAATAAATTAGAACAGTTATAACAATCTACTGTAATAAAAGTTATGTGAATGTGGTCTCTCTCTCAAGATACCTTATTGTACCCATTATTTTCAGATTGCAATTGACCACAGGTACCTGGAATCACAGAAAGTGAAATCACAGATAAGGGGGAAGTTATTGTATATGCAAATATAATAATAACTGTTAAATAATTCAGGGAAGAACATCACAGAAATCCCCTTTGCCTAAAGGCATCTACCCCTCTATTATAATCATCAATGTCAGGCAAGCCTCACAGAGCTTAAATCCTTGATGTTCTGCACAATGTATATTTCCTGAAATGAACTAGCATTTGTATTCTAGAAAAGTTAACCAACAGCACATAAATGAAGGATATGAACTTAACACCTGAATCCTCCTTTTCCATTCTCCTTTTCTCTACCAGTCACTGTCATTTCAACTTCTGAACATCAAGTCTCTTTCTCTGTTCCAAGCCCCACCAACCCATGGAGTAGTGTCAGTTCTCACTTCAGTTCCAAACTCTGCCCCATTGTTGAGTCTCCCACTTCTCAGTCCAGAGCCCACAACATAGGAGAAAGACGTCATGCAGAGAATTAAAGTAAGATGTTGTTTTAAGTTGGGATCTGTATTATGCTTTCCTATAGAAACATTTTATAAATCTAGCACAAATTCAAACATGTGTACAGGAGTTCACATAATATTGTGCATTAAAGTAAGCTTTCGAAGACTAATTTCAGAGAATAACCAACAGCTGTAATCCTGTTTCTAATGGAAAATCCAAATCCAGTATATTGTATACCAAAAAAAAAAAAAAAAAAAAAACCCTTATAAATTAGCTTATAAGAACAAGCTGTTTGCAAACTGGAAGCTGTCTTTGTGAAATAATTTTATAAATTATGAAGTTCATATACAAATATTTATGAAAGTGATCTGATTTTTGACTTGCTGGTGGACTTTGCTCTTATGACTGATTAGAATTATTTTCCTTCAATTTCACTGCTACCATTGAGGCCATCCTGAAGCTCTCCACTAAACCAAAGTGGCCAACCTTCAAAGGTAGAAGGTCTTTAGTCAAGGCTTTATTCATAGTCAATTATCACAATTGTTATACTAATTTTTACTAAAGGGTTTGCTCTCAGTTGTTACCAAATGTTTCCAAACTGAAGTAGAAACCACAGGTTACAAGGAAGTGGAAAAGAAAATTAACATGTTTTAAGTAACTACCATGTGCCAGGAAGTTTAACCATTACAATAACTATGAGTAGGTATTCCAAAGAAGGAAACAGACTCTGACAAGTTTAAACAATTTTTCTTTTTTGGCATTAAGTAAGCAGTGGAGCTAGTTCCCTTTTAAGGGTTAACAACTAATTATTTTTAACTTTTATTTAAATATAGCATATTTAAGTAGTTTCTAAATCACAAGTGTTTGTTGTTGCATTTTCACAAAGTGAACACATCCTGTGAAACTGGGCTCCAAATCAAAAGAACAGAACATGACCAGAATCTCAGAAGCCACACCAAGTGTAACCTTTTACTCACAATCCCCTCCCCAAAGTTAACCACTCTCTTGATTTCCATCACTCCTACCATCAGAGTAGTTTAGATGACATTTGTTTTACTGTTTGTGAGCTTTCTATACATGTAATCATAGAGTATGTACTCTTTCATGTCTGGCTTATTTTTCAACATTATGTTTGGGAAATTAATTGGTATTGTTGAGCTTGCTTATTCTAATTACTTTTTCTAATATCCTACCATGGTAACTACCACAATTTACTTACCCATTCTGCTATTAACAGACGTTTGAATAGTCCATACATTTAGTTTTTGAATAGTAGGTCCATGAACATTATTGTACATACATGTCTTCTAGTACACAAATGTACACATTTATGTTGGATGTGTACTTAGGAGTATAATTGCTGTGTCATGGGATTCGCATTAGATATCATGAATCATTGATTTTTTTTTGACTTCTAGTTTTCTAAAGTGGTTATACCAATGTACACTCTCACCAGCAACATATCAGAATACTTATGGTCCACATTCATGTCAACAAAGGCAGCTTTTGAAACTAGGTTTCTGACTCCAATACCCAATGCTCCTTTCCTTTCGCCTAAATTTTATTTAAAGGTAAGAACTTGGTAACCATTCTCTTTTATAAATTCCATGATTCTTTCTAAGATTTTCATTCTTTGTTCATAGAGTGATTTTCCTTTTTTATAATGAAAAACATATTTGTGCTTAATAGAATTTAGCAGCGTTATAAGGCTATCAGAGGCCTCGTGTAAATATTTATCTTCATTAAGCCCAGCCTCTTCTATTTTCTCTGCATGGGTAAAAAGAATGGCTGTGTAATTCATCCAAGCATGTCCAAGAAGTTCCTGAAAGAGAGAAGTTAAATAACTATTGAATTTCAACTATATTTCTCAAAAATGAGCAAAGGATTTATTATGGTCCAATATAGATAGCCAGAAGATCCATATTATTATGTTTCTGAAAGCTAATATACAAAGTAGGAAAAGAAAACAGGGTTAAGTACTGTAAGTAAATGAAGGGAAAGGGCTTAACTTTCTGTAAAAGGCTTTAATTCTCTGTTTAATTTTACTATAATAAATGACATATACACAACCTCAAAACTGCATATTATCAATGCTGCATAGATTTACAACACTCAGTAATCATTATATTTGTCTGACTAACTGACTCCATTAAAGCCACTGAATTGAAGTCAGTGGACCTTGGTCAAGGGAATTCTTTTATCTTTTATTTTTTGTAGAAATATGTTATCATTATCACTAAAAGCATCTACTAAAGATATAAAATTACATAATCAGTTTACAATCTATTGATTGTAATCAGGTGACATGTAATAGAAAAGCTAAGATACAAATACATTTGGTGATTTGGCTGAACCATGAAATATTACTGTGATTCTTCCTGACTTCACATGCTTAGAATGGAACACAATTTATCTGATGACTTCCTCTAATGTGGCTGAAAAACACTGAAGACTGGCGTGCCTTTGTTTAGTAATATGTGGAAGCTGGTTATGTAATAAATTATTGTTTGATTAGTGAAAATAAGCTGATATAAAGCAGAAATAATAGCATGTGACAAATTGTTCATGTAATATAAAAGGCATCTAGAAATAACCGTTGAACTTTTTTGGATATATCCAAAGCTATATGAAATCAGAACAATGTGACAACAAAATAACATTCCCTCCATTCCAAACACTCCTATTACCAAAATATTTCCAAAGCTACTACCAGTTTATGGCAAGAAAAATACAAAATGCCTAGGAATAAATGTAATAGGAAACATCTAGGGCTTCTAATAATCAGAAGAAAGAAATAAGGGAGAAAAACTAACATTTAGTGTTAGATATTATGCTAAGTACTTTATATGCTTTACCTCTTGAAGCGTAATGTGATTCTTTGTGGGAGAAACTGTTATAATTTCCGTTATGATTCTGGCAAACTGACCTATAAAGACTGAATTATATGTATACGTATAAACTCTGGTTTTAAAAAATTCTTGAAAATATTGGAAGTCTGAGAAATCATTTTCAATGTACATAACAAAAACAGGATTAGAATTTATAATATTGAAAAATTGAAAAGAAACAGGAAGAAGGACATAAGAAAGAAAACAGAAAAGGTAGAAAGGAGAAAGGAAGGAAGGAAGCCAAGAAGGCAGGAAAACTGGAGGAAGGAAGGAAGGAGTCTGGATATGTAAATCTAACACGAAAACACTCATGAGAACAGTGGGACGAACCATTCAAAATTAGAAACATCACAATCATGGTTACCAAGTACAACTGATGCAGTCTGGCTTTTATCAGAGTCATTTCTTTATACATCCATTTTTACAACTTGATGGTGAACTCTTTGAAGGCAAGGTTCATGTCTTTCCATATCAATCAAAACTTTTTGCACATTGTAAACTCTCAGTAAACATCTGTTAAATTAATTTGGAATTTAGGCCCTCATTATCATCTCAAATAGAAGGCTTAGGGTTCTTTTATTTCTTTTGAAAGTTTGGTTTTGAATTATAATTAATCTTTGTGATACAATATTGTGCTTTCTTGTAAAGCTTGCCCCTCTGCTTTTTTTTTTTTTCTTTTTGCAGTTTATTATCATGAATTTGCCTGTAGCCTTCACTTTCTATTTTCTATTCAGAGGAACTTTTCAAGGAATAGATCCAAAATTTTTCTTTCATATCTGTTCAAAATTTGTCTACATACACCGTAGAACAACTGCATATTTCTATTTCTCCTAAAAATAACCTGCTTCTAGAAAATCTGAATTAAAGTTTCAAGATCAGTATATTAGGGAATAATTATTATAATAGAAAGATTCTAAACTTTAAAAAATAATTTTTTAACAAAGCACTTTAATTGGTATATTTGTATGTGCCTTTAAAACATAAATCTGTTAGCAATACTTCAGCCAAACTTTTAAAGAATACAACTCTTGTGTAAATCTAAGTATCCATATAATGTCAACATCCCATTTTGGCTAATGGTAACATAGCAAAATTAGCAGACCTCTTTATAGTTTGACATATATGCAATATATTGTAACAGGTCTCTGCTCAGGGAGGAGTCACAGAATTGCAAAGTAAATGAACAATGATGTTATGGATTGAATTGCATCCTCCCCCAAATTCATGTGTTGAAATTCTGATCCCCAGTTCTTCCAGATGTGACCTTATTTGAAAATAAGGTCGTTGCAGATACACTTTGTTAAGCTAAGGTAATTAGGGTGAGTTACCATCTAGTATGATTGGTGACCTTATAAAAAAGGGAAATTTAGACAAAGACCAAGTCCTAGGATATTACCATGCATACATGAAGATAGCCATCTACAAGCCAAGGAAAGAAGCCTGGAACAGATCCTTCGCTCACAGTCCTCAGAAGGATCCAACCCTGACAACACCTCGATTTCAGCCTTCTAGGCTCCAGAACTGAAAGACAGTGAAAACCTGCTGTATATGCCACTCAGATTGTGGTACTTTGTTACAGCAGTCCGAACAAACTAATGCAAGTGGCTAACAAATTAACAAAGTCCTAAGTATGTTTGATCTGGGCTCTGGCGTACAGTGATCCCTGGATGATTTGCATCAGAATCACCTGGGGAGCTTTCGAAAAATGCAGCAGAACTTTTAGGGCTGAAGGCTGTCTGTAAGTTTAATTTTATAAAGCACTTCAGATGATTTATTCCTTCTGCAAATATTTACTGAGGGTCTACTTTGTTCTAGGCATGTTCTACATGGTAGGGGCAGGTGTGGAATAAGACAGACATATTTTCTATTTACATTTAGTGGAGATTTTTGTGTACTAAATTAATTTAGGAAGGGAGACAGACAGGAAAGAAATAATTTTGAATTTGTTTCAATTGCAAGTGTGATAGAAATTATGTTTGTACTATAAAAGTGAGCATTTTGCCCATTTCAGGTGATGGTAGGAAGTAGGGGTAAAAGGGAAAGATCAAATAAAGTGTCTTACATGTAAGGATGCAGTGATCAGATTCTTAAAAAATACATAGGCATTAACAAGGTAATTAATGTAATCAAGCATGATAAAAGGATAGTATTCCTTTTATTCCTGGTTTTCTGTATTGTAACATTAACGTGTTCACTTTTTGTTTCCACCAGACATTTGCCATACTTGAAACTGCAATCTCATTCAGAGAAAACAAGTTAAAGCACCTAAGGATAATAGATTGATAAACTCCATGCCACTTAAAGGTCCATGTGTTCAGCCACTGGGAAGTTTTTACATGTTTATAATTACTTATGAAAGGATGCTCATATCTTAAACTGTGAGAGAAATTGCACTTTTGAATAACTGCCAAAAACAGAAGAGAGTGGTTGATTTAGCTTAAAATCTTCAGACCAGTTTTGGCCAGAAAATAGTTGAATATTTGAAAGTAGTGTTGCTTGGTGAGTAGTCATCATGTTAGTGGCCAAACATGTTCTCTATGGACCCAGAGAAAGCATGCTTACAGCTGATTGATACCTTACATTAAAATCCAAAAGCAAGATAAGTTAATGTAAGTTATCTGGTGTTAATAATTTAAATATAGTACTAAGCTAGATGAAAATTTTACAATCAATCATGAATTGTTTGGTTTCTGAGTGCTAATGGGTATGAGTCCATTTATTCCTTTTGGGACAACTACGTAGTTAGAATATAAACTTTGTTATCCAGGAATTATGTTCATTTTCCCAGGACCTCACCAGCCCTGCCCCCATTTGTTTGTGGTTGATGAAATCATAGCATCTGGACTTTTTAGGGGGAAACTAAAAAAAAAAAAAAAAAACAGCAAACTACTGAGAAAAAATCATCATGGAACATGAGGACAGTAAGGACCATTTTCATTTTTTATACTTTATGATAGTCCCTTACTCTCACCCCACTTAAAAACATTACATTTTCCTTTTCAGAGAGCCAAAGTTGAATGATAATTTCTCGTTAGGTCAGATCCAGCGAATATTCAACCTCAGAGATCATTTGTATAAAATGCATCATTTTACAGATGAGGGTATTGAGGCCTTATGGTGTTAAATGACTTGGCCAAAGTCACATGGCTGATTATTGGAGGCTTGGACCTGGAACAAAGGTCCCTTGTCTTTCCCACTAAATTGGGGCTTCTCAGCTTAACCATTCTAAGCCAGTGAAGATTTTCCCAGCTTTTTTTCTAAATTAATAAAAAAGTTACTTCTTACAGTTCTAAAGCAGGGCCAATTCTACTCTTATTTTCTTTGGAGGTCTACCAGGATAAACCTAAAAAACACTATTTACTAATTTTAGGATAAGACAAATACTAACAATAAAATAATAATGGCCAGAGCTATATGCTGTGCACTTGCCACGTGCCTGTGCCTAAGCTGTATCCTGTACTGTTAATAGGACACTAATCCCACAAGCAACCCAATGCAGTAGCCACTACTATCTTTCTCAATTTACCAAGGAAGTTTAGAGAAGTTACTTGCCTGAGATCTATGATATCTTGCCCATATCTAATAGTTCATTTGAACGAGTACTCATTCACAGTCTTGGTAGTGATCTTAATAATAAAAACAACAACAATACTAGTAATACTTCATTTTCTGTGACCTCCTGTAAGTAGGGACAATGCTGAGCATGTTGCATTTATTAAATACAATGCTCAGAACTCTTTAACACATGTAAAATTATCCCCATATTACAAGGAAGGAATTGATACCAAGAAAGTTTTAGTAACATTTATATTCATACACCTATAAAGTAATTAGGCTTGTTTTTTAACTAAATTCTGACAACTAAGCCCATAATCTTAATTTAGTATTTTCAGGCTCTGAATTGGCTTTTCTGAGCTTTTTGTAAACATATTTGTCTGCAACATCAACAGTTCAGTTGTTGATTATGAAATAAAAGTACATACTTGAAACTTGCTTGTACACAGTAATAGTACATAACACAATAGTGGGGGGAAATGGACCTTAGGCAACACCTAGGCCTAATTCGTAGCGCAGCTTGGCTGTATGCTAGCTGTTTCCTTGAGGCGACTATATTATATCTCCCGGATTCATTATCTGTGGGTTTGTAAACATTCAAATGAGATTCCAGATAACATTCAAATAAATTATTCTTTTATTTCTTGATTTTGAGGACATGACTCACTGGTATTTCCTTCATTTTACTGTAAATTAATAAACACCTAACAAAAATAAAGAAAAAAGGATCATTTGGAAAAATGTTTCCGTAGTCACAGCCAGCAGCATATAACCCCTCTGCAAAATATTGGAGTACAAATTGGGAAAGATATTTAAAGAGACAACAGGGAAACACAGGAAAGAAGAAGCTACTTCTCTGACACTGGCTTGGTAGACTCTTTCCACAGCACTAGTCAGTGCCCCTGAAAAGGGGTAAAAGAAAGCAGGCAGACACTCTATGCTCCACGTTGCATCAGCCAGGAAGAAAAAGAAATCCAGAGTGTCCCTGAAACCTGAGGACCTAACAGCTTCTTGCTCCTTCCTAACATCTCCTAGTCCTGTTGAATATTCAGACACTCTGCAGCTGCTCCCAATCTGTGAGCACATACAGATGGCTGCCACCAGTATCTGAGGCAGCTTCAGGAAGACCATAAATTGTCAGCCTGTGCTTAAGTGACCATCAACCAAAGACTGCAGCAGAACCTTAGAAGAGTTCTGCAGTGCTCCCAGGGGTCATAGGCCACTCAAGATTATTAAACCTTGGCTGCTGATTTTCTTGGGAGACAGAAGTTATTTATTCCAGAAAGAAATATTCAGGATCTGAGCTTTGTCCTAGTTCATCTCCTCTCTGCCTCCAATTCCTAAATTGCACACTGATTTGGAAGGCAGCTGTAAGAGAAGACTATATGCCAAATATTGTTTTAAAAGACCAAAGACATGTATGAATTTAGCTCACATGTATAAAGAAAGCCTCACAGATAACATTATTGTCCTATATACTAAAACTAGTAAAATCTGTTTTCAAAATGTATGTCATTTAAAATAACCTTTTGGGCTCAGCATAGGTTCATGATAGGAAAAAATATTGAGACATATGGAGAGAGTCAGGGTAGCTTTTGAGAAATAGTTCTTTATGTGTTTACTGAATTTACTGAATTACATCCATCTATAGCCTCTGGTAAATGTTTACTTAATAATAGCTTTAAATGAATTTTTAAAAACTGTACAAAGATTATACTGATGTCATGGATGCTGGCTTCTCGGCACTTGATTTCTACCAGAAACACTGTTTGAAATACAGGCTTTAATAATTTGGAGGTTTGTGGGCTTTCTTAGATCCCATATTGTTTCTTAATTGCAATAATCTTCTAGCCTTCATTACTTTCGTAGAGCATGCCCTTGGATTTTCAGGAGTTGCATGATGAGGATGTTTTTTTATCCTCCTGTCACCCTGATTTTTCCGCTAGTTTCTTGTGATTATGCATATGACTTTTTTTTTCATTTTTAGAAACATGCACAGTTACTGAAAAACAATGTGTGTATCTGTCATTTAGAAGTATCTTTTCTAGTTAAATGAAAAAACAAACCTTTATGAAAACAAAGTAACTATCTTTCTGGGCTGTAACGGGCCTATGTCAATGTAAGTTGAGACTGAACCAAAAGAAGAGTAGCATTTATTCAAGTTCTGGAACAGAAAAGATCTGTTTGCCATTCTGCATACATTTAACTGTGGAGCTTCTAGTAGACCTGGCGTCCCTGAACTCAGTGACTCATTGAGGCTCCTGAGTAATACTAGTGAAGTCAGCAGTTAAATTTAGGTTGACTCAGACTAAAGAATCAAGAGATTGAATAAAATAGAGCAGCTCAATGAATAGTTTCCAGGAATTGTTAGTACTCTCCTCTCCTGGAGACTGGCTGAATAAGCCTCCAACTTAGTGACCTATAATGAATGAACAAACAAACAAATAGAAATAGACCACTAGGGAAAGGTGGCATGTGTTACTTATGCTCAACCTGAGCTTCCTGTGGTCTTCTTACGACTAGAATGGAGCAGTCACTTATGCTATAGCTGATGAGGCAAGTAAAAATCTGAAGTTCTGAATTGTTTTCCTATAAACAACGCATAACTCTCCCTTGAATGCTCACTATGACTTAAGTCTGATGAAGCCCCCTCTCATACATTATACTATTTTGGCACTTAATGCACTGTCTTATTCTGATTTATCTAATTTTCCTCTTCTAGACTGTAAACTTTTTAAAGGGAGGGCTCATGTCTCATTTACCAGTCATTAAGCACTGTGCAGATGCTCAATAGAGTATTCAATGACCAAGTCTGTGAATGAGCACCCATTTCTTGGTGAACTATAAGAAATTGTCCCTTTAATGCTGAATGGATGCAAGTCAGTGTTGAAGTTCAGTGGTTCTAAGACCTGACTGTTTTTGAGAAATACATGAAAAGTTATTAAAATACAGATATGCAGACTCCACTCTTGAGATTTTGTTTCAGAAGGTTTTGGATCAATCTTCTTTAGCAAACAGCCCAGTTGATTCTGATGCAGACAGTTCAGGGACCACATTTTACAAACTTATTTGGGTTTTTATTTCTAGGGTTTGAGGCTTGGTTAACCTCTGAAGTTTTAATATCTCATTTTGTTTTTCTACAAACCATTTGTAAAATGACTTGATTGGGTTCCTCTGAAGGAAGTCATAAAAAGGACTTGCGAAAATCAAATAATTTTTATTGACTATTCTTAGGTGACCAACACTTGGTTGTTTTAATTATTATTTTTACCAGTTCATTGTTCTTTACTATTAGGATAATGTCATCCAAGAGGTAATAATGGCGTTAGTGTAATTGCATCTTTGTATTACCTGGATCATCTGGACTGGGTAAGTTACTTCCTTCCCACAGAAAGGCACATCTGCTCTCAGAACCAGGAGTGCGAGGTTGAGACCCTCTTGCCCGAAGTGATGTGCCAGAGCCTCTTTGACTTCCCGTTTCACATGCTCATTGCTCAGCCTGCTGTGTGGATAACCTGGAGTGTCCAACACCTGGACTTGCAGGGCTACCTCTCTCCCGGCTCGACGCATGAAGCTGTGGAGGTGACAACTGCGGCCCAGGCTACAACATGTAGTCACAGAACATGGAGCAAAGATGCTGTGAAAGTCTATGCTTCCCAGCAGAATGTTTCCAGCAGAACTTTTTCCACTTTGAGTCATGCCAAAGAGGGCCAAGTTGATGATCATCTTGTTCGGATCTGTCATGGCTGTGGGAAAACAAAGGCATAGCATACATAATCAGGCTTCTACATTCTCCCAGCGTAAGGTTTCTTACCTGGCCTGGAGCACTCCAAGTATGATTTTAGGTTTGTTTTCCTTTCATTCGTAGTGACTAAAGCAGGGAGGAGGAGTACTCCACTACAATGGAGATGCCACAGTGACAGAAGGGAATGTGGAAATAATATCACTAGTTTACAATGAGAAAGGAGAGAGAAGTTAAATACAGATAAGAAAGGGTTTAAGAAATAGTAATTGCAGAAAATGAGGAAAAAAATCCCAAATTACATGAAGATCATATAAACCATGTTTAGGAGGAATACGTTAACTCATCAATGTGGTAGGTGAGTTGGTTTAGGAAAAGGTGTTGAAGTTTCTGAGCTCAGGGACAAAGCTAGCAGTAGTATTTAAAAGTTATTCACTATTGGAAAAGTAAGAATAAGACAGTGGAAGAAACAGCCATTCTTGCATTTTTAACATCCCCCATCTTCCCACTTCTCGACCCACTGCCTGAATACACAAGTGGCATCTGCATAAAAATCATCTTTCCTGTTTTCCTGAATGCTTCTTTCCTATGAAATATGAATAATGTTAAATAAGCCTTCTGTTTCTGTTTACTTTTTTTTTTTTTTTTTTTTTAAACAAACTGGGAACAACTAGTGAAAATAAAAAATACTTGCAATTTCTGTTATAAAATAATTAATAAATCATCTCTATGGCCATTAGTGTAATCTGTTGGCTCTTCAATAAAGAAGGTAAAGCCTAATACATTGGCCAGCTCAGTTAGAAGGGAGGAGAGTCTTGGGATAGTCTATTCCATGTACAATACTTGTACAGTGGCCGATCTTTTGTGCACAGCATAAGCTTCCTATAGCATTTTAAAGTCATCAGTTATTTTCACTACACTTATAGGCAGAGTTACTGGCCAATTGCTAAAACCACCCAAGCTGCTGATTCAGAAATAAAGACATTTTAATCTTTCATATTTATTATTTTTGCTTATGTCTCGTACACAGTTTTAAGTACCACAGGTCCTTCTTGTCCTTTAATGCTCCCCACTCCATACCCACACCCTAATGTGAAGACCGTGAGGGAGCTTCATATTTCCACAAAAAGACACTCATTTGGGGGTCCCTCCAGTTCACAACAGCTCTCCCAGCTCATTCAGTGGTGTCAACTGCACTGAGAGGCAGTTTCTTTTTACGCCTAAATCAGGGGTGTAATAATTTTAGAAAATTAATTATGCAATCCCAATCCATTTGCTATATTTCACTTACCTTTTCCAGTCTTGAAAATGCTTTCTCCACAAAGACGTCTCTCACCCTGGCACGGTTGTTCTTTCATATGAACTTTCACCTTCTGATAGTGTTACTGTACCACTCTGGGACTGACACTGTATGTATTTTATTTAGTTAATCTATTACCAGACTTCCTCTTTATAAGTGATGAGTTGTCTTCCCTAATCAGCACTGACTTTTTTATGTCACCTGACATACTTGTAATTTTAATAGGTACTGAAGGATTAAATTTTTTTATTTAGTGCTTTTTTCATAGGTAACAACTTATTTATAGCATAAAGAAATGCAAGATGGGTATTAAACAGAAATTAGACATTCTATAGCAATGATTACAATTTTTTCATGATCTACAATTAGATCATGACTTCACATCAGTATTTAGACCATAATACTATTTAAAATTTTAAGACAACTCTTTTTGCTACTTTCATATAATTAAAGTGTATTATTTTATCTTAATTTATGAAATCACCGGGATGATTATATCAGCACATGTAGCTTTCATATCAATTAATGATAGTATATTTAGGAAAGGAGTAAAATTAACTATAACTTGAAGTCAAATACAGTTTTTCTTAAAAACTTGGGTCTTATTTTCTTATTGAAAACTCAAATTTTATATTTTCTACTTCTTTTTTTTTTTTTTTGAGATGGAGTTTCGCTCTTGTTACCCAGGCTGGAGTGCAATGGCGCGATCTTGGCTCACCGAAACCTCCGCCTCCTGGGTTCAGGCAATTCTCCTGCCTCAGCTTCCTGAGTAGCTGGGATTACAGGCACGCGCCACCATGCCCAGCTAATTTTTTGTATTTTTAGTAGAGACGGGGTTTCACCATGTTGACCAGGATGGTCTCGATTTCTTGACGTAGTGATCCACCCACCTGGGCCTCCCAAAGTGCTGGGATTACAGGCGTGAGCCACCGCGCCCGGCATGTTTTCTACTGCTTAGTATATTACCATACTAATCCAAAATACTTTCTTGGTGCTTTAAGATACAGAAACTGTAGCATGGTTATATTCTGATTCATCTTCTCTTGCATTTTTCAAAAAGTCTATGAAATTTGTATTTCTGAGTGAAGGAAACCTGGAGACATCTGGAACACCTTATGACTTCATGGGCAGAGAGTTAAAAAGTCTTCTTCCTGTGTGGCTCTGACAAGGAAAACATAAACTGGCGTCCTTCATCTAATAAGCACATTGGGTTTCTTGAATGAAGTGGAGAGAATTTCCCCCAGGTGGCAGTAGCAGCCTGTTTCCTAAGAAGTGATTCTGAGCCAGATTTATTTTAATTTTCTGCCTTAAACTGTAAACGGACATCTTTCGACTATCTACCTAAACACATATTAATCATATGGGGGATTTTTTTTTTGAAGAAGAAGAAGAACAAAGCCAAACTTTCTTTCCTATGTTTTGTATAGAACACAGCAAGCATAAGCTCTTAGCTTTTCAAAACCCCCCAATTCAAAGCTATAGTTTAAATCATTTGGTGAATGTAACAGCTGACTGTTTAAAAAATAAAATTCAGAATTCATGAGCATGATTATAAGTTCCAGTAAGACTGAACATTTTTCTGATAATTTTTCATAAGTCGAATGCAGGTTTTAGATTTGAGTCAATTTAGAGGTCTTATAGCAGAATAATGTATTATTAGATGATGTTGAAAGATTATTAATTATTTTTTGAATCAAGGTGAAAGAACAATTTGAAAAATTACAATTTTATCAACTTGGCTAAACGTAATGTAGTAAGGATTTTAAAAGTATTTTTTTTAACAGCTGGCTACAGAATTTCTCTTAGGAAGTATACTGTCTGAGAAAATTTTTTAATTTAGCTACTTGAGGTAGAAAACAGGATCCTGAGAACAGGAGAGACGAAGTGAGGGACATAAAATGAGGACAGGACAGACAGATGCAGGGAGGGAAGAAAGGAATGGGGAAGGAGAGAAAAAAGAACTATGCCATTATAGTGGGGCAGAAAGCTAGATCTCTCCGTTTTGTAAATGTAAAGGGCTAAGGAACTACTTTAAAATCAACCACATTTACAGTTTTCTTACATAAAGGCGGCTTTTAATTTTTATTTTTGGTTTTGCATTTTATTTTGATGAAAATTAATGGAAAAGTTTAAGTTATACTCCTGGGTTAACACAAGACAGGGGACCACAAAAATTAGAGATTGTGGAATGACATCTGAATTAAAGTAACTTAGAAGAGACAGGAAGTTATAGCTAGAAGGGCACCAATTCCCCAGGAACTTGCAGGAATCATTAGGAGGACATTAAGACTTTCCACAATCGATGAAATGAGATATTTTGGTGTAGGGGTGAGTCTAGCTGACAAGCAACTACTGTATTTCAAATTTTATATATGTATGCACACATACATTCAAACATATGGACATACATAAATATTCACATGTATACATTTATGCATGTTTGTATATACAAGTGTATATATGTACATATAATTTACACTGTAGATGTCTTTATACTCAGGAAAATTGTGTCTCAAATGAATTTTATTGCAAGTAGCTCTAGATACAGCAATTTGATTAAAATGTGCTTTTAGTTTTAGACAAACTCCCATTTTCCTTGGTTTGAACGGTTAATCCCTTGCTCTGATGATATTTCTTTTCTTAATAAAGAATACATTAAGAGTATTGACCAGATTTTGTGTTTATGATGATCAAATGGCTTTAACCCTGGATAACACTGCACCAAACTGAAAGGAACACTGATAAGCCATTGTAGCTGGTGCTGACTTGATTCACTCGGTCTGAGCTAGTTTTAGAATAAGGCATTAGATCTCACCATTGGATATTTTATGACACTGGTCAGCAGTTTAAATTTGGTGGACAGATGGTCTTAATTTGAATGCATTTTGAAGGTTCTTGAAGCAATGAAGAATGGCCTTGTCTGGACAGAAATATTTATGGGAATATAAATCTTCAGTCCAAGCTTGGTTAGTTGGTCTTTAGTGAGACTCTACCAGTCACATCCCCATGCAGGAATGTTCATGATGTTTTTGTCTGGTTTTGTTGTTCTTGTTTGCTTGCTTGTTTGTTTTTCTTCTGAGTGTTTCTGCATATAATTTTTCAGATTATAAATGTACACATTTTAAAAGGCATTTAAAGGAACATAGAAGAATATAGAATTACTTTTAAATCTTAATTTCCTGGGGACCATGAGACAGTGTCTCTTTTTAGGGATTGACACAACAGGTACATTCTTTTTTGCAACCTACCTATATACTCCCCCTATTTACTCCTCTTCTTTTTTTCTTTTTTTGAGACAGAGTTTCTCTTTTGTTACCCAGGCTGGAGTGCAATGGCATGATCGCGGCTCACCGCAATGCCCACCTTCTAGGTTCAAACAATTGCCTCAACCTCCCTAGTAGCTGGGACTACAGGTGTGCTCCATCATGCATAGCTAACTTTTGTATTTTTAGTAGAGATGGGGTTTCACCATGTTGACCAGGATGGTCTCGATCTCTTGACCTTGTGATCACCACCTCAACCTCCCAAAGTGCTGAGATTATAGGCCTGAGCCACCGCGCCTGGCCTTTTACTCCTCTTCTTTAACAATCACTGCTGAGAGGGATCACACAATTTCTATGAAATACATTAATAATAGGAGTATGTTTAGCCTGTGAACTGTGTGGAGGCAAAAGCAATTGTTGGCAGTTACTTAATCAGAATATAATCTTTTGAGAGAGTACTGTATTTAATTTTCTAAAATCTTTTATAATTTTAGTAATGTTGTTAATAGTGAGATTGGGTGATAGCTTTTTATTTTTATCTTATATTTGTCAGATTTTCAGATCAGAAATAAGCCAACCATTTAAAATGAATTAGAAAAAGTTTCTTCCTTTATGGTGCTCTGTAATCATTTAGATCCTTTGGCAATTACACATCCCTGGAAGGTTTGAAAAAACTTCCATTAAGACAGCTTAAGCTGAACAACTTTCTGGAAGTGATTCTCAAACAACTTGAACAATTTCTGCCATAGGAATCTGACATTTTTTGGTTGATTTTGATGATTTAGACTATAATAAACACCTATCTGATCTGTCTTGCTCATCTTTACGACTTTAAAAACGTGTAATCACCTTCATTTCTGGTATTAGATTTCCTTTCTTGTTTTGAGGTGGCTAATGTATTAGGATTGGCTTTCTATACTTAATAATAAATATTTTCTTTCTCTCTCTCTCTCTGTTACTCTGTGTGTGTGTGTGTGTCACAATTTACTTTTGCACTTTTATAGTTTGAAATGAATTTCCACAAGCATAAGCTAGATGTATAATTTGGTGTCTTGAGGATGTAAGAATTTGATTTATAATAACCAAATTTTTGGCCACCAATGCTGAGACAAATAAGTTGAAAACTGAATCATATTTATATTCACATTATCATTTACAATTGTAATTAGTGATTAATCATACAAATATATGTCGTTATTGAAGAAATGACTAAAACCTCAAGAGCAAGAGAAAAATCAATACATTTCTAATACTATACTTACTAAAGAAAAATAATATGCTGAAGAAAAATTTCAACGAAACAAGGGTGCTCAGTTCAGATTCTCAAAAAATTTGTCAAATGATCTCGAATATCCCAAACCTTATTCTTGAAACACTTCTGCTAAATTCCATCACCCTGGTTTAGATTCTTTTTGATAAAAGACCTTTCTTATTCACTTGAGATAAATAATGTGACATAGTATAATATGGAATATCATAAAAATATGTTGATATAAATTAATTTCATATGTCAAAGATTTTATGTTTTATTTTTCTAACCTAAGAAATAACATATATTCAACCCATATGGATAAATATAATTTTTTAGCCAAATGCACAGAGGCAGAGGGTCTCATCATCTTTAATAAAGCTATCCTCAGTCTCTGAGCCCAGACGCTAGACTGGCTTCAACTTCTTAGAGACTCCAGTTATCTTATGCACATGATACAATTACAAACACTTCCATGTTATAAATTCTAATAATATCCCGGAAGCAATAGATACTTTTCTTATCACAATAAAAAGTATCAT